CAGGCAGACAGGCAGGCAGGCGAGGAGAAGCCTCACAGTAGGCAAAAGGGATGTAAAGGTTGGACTGTCATTGGGGGTTTGTCAGCATGGGCATGTAAAAGCAGGACATCTTGGATCTTGGGGAATCCATTAAGGGTGTGTGTTGGCTTGCTTTCTCTGACTGGTCCCACTAAATTGGAATTAGACAACCTGGCAAGTACTGGTCATGGTTCACCATTGCGGACTGACTGTTGCAGAAGCTGTTTGCTGGTTTGGCTTCCTGGGCTGTTTGCTGCAGGCTCTGGTCAATATCCATGTAAGGTGGCCCTTGTCCCCTTGTGCAGATTATATCTCTTAGAATAATTGCAGCATGAGCAGGGCTGGATATTCACCTCAGGGCAGAGAGTTCGTGTGTGTGTGTGTGTGTGTGTGTGTGTGTGTGTGTGTGTGTGTGTGTACACAACTGCAGGCAACACCACATGGTGTCCTGGTGGTACATGGTGGGTACATAACGGAAAATGAAAGTGTCACCCATAATCTAAGACGAGGGATCATGCTGAGGTACTGGTCCCTGGGGTAGGGGTTGGTGCTGGGAAACCTGGAGAGTTAGGCTGTTTCTTTTGTGAGGATAACATTGGGATCCATAGCAATGAGGGCTGTCCACTGTGGCTCCTCACCCTGGGACCTGTGCCTTTGTTAAATTCATAATCATAAGCCTGACATCATGGAACAGCATCAAGTCCCTGGCCTCCCCCACTGCTGTCTGCACACGGGCTACCTACCGAGTGTTTTCATAGATCTCCCTCCTAATCCTCATTTACCCAGTTAAGACAATGGGCTCAGAGGCAGTGCTGCTGACCCAGGTGTACCAAGTTGTCTCAGCCCTGCACTTCCTGAGGCCTCTGCCTCTATTCCGTGAGGCTACCTGACCCTCAGAGTCACCTCTCCTGGCAATTGCTGCACTGGGGAAGCCCTGTGTAGAGCTGTTGCAGGTAAAGCTGTCGGGGGATGGCGTTCAGAAAGTCTTTATTGGACTGGGGAGATTGCTCAAATAAACCCAGAACCCACATAAAGAAGCCTGAAGTGCAGGTACATGTTTATAATCCTGGGAGGAGGGTGGTGGACACAGGTGGATCCCTGGAGTCCAGTGGCCAGCCAGCCCATCCTATTTGAGCTCCAGATCAGCTAGAGATCCTGATTCAAAAAACAAGATGGCCAGTGCCAGGGAAATGACAGTCGAAGTTCTCTTCCGGCCTCCACACACATGCACAGGCATGCACACGTGTGTACCTTCACACACAGGAAAAGATCATGTAGTGGAATCCTGAGGATTTTCTACAATTGGAATGAATAGCCAAATTTCAGGTGAAAATAGGAAACATGTTTCATTTTGAAGCAGAAGAGTTGCCTCATTGGAAAAGAGGTTTGTTGCCATATTTGGTGAAGCATCGCTCCGGCTTTGAAGGTGGTCCATGTTCTTGGCTGTGGACTCTCAGCCTTCTGTCCAGACCCAGGCGGGCTGGCTATGTCTAGAGACCCTCTCTGTCACTCCCTTGCTCTCCAGTCCAGGGCAGCTGGTGCCCATCACTGGTTGCTGTGGGAGGTGGATGAATCTGGAACAGCTCCACAAGGCCCCTGGGTGGCCAGAGGGGAGGCTGCTCTCACGTGTCAATCACTGTCACCAGAAGTGCCTGAGCCACAGGGAGTGAGACACTTCTTGGCCAGGCAGCGCTTTGGAGCTGTCAACAGCAGCTGCCGCATATCCCAGTGTGTGCTTCATGCCTGCCTCAGAACATGGCCCGGCTGTGCATCTGTCTCCTGTCAGGCACGCAGCAGAATCACTGAAGTCTGTACACTGGCATGAACATGCTTACACATGGCTGCAGCCATCCCGGGGCCCCTGCCCACCTCACACGGCCTATGCTGGGCAAGATTCTCTTTAGGTAGCCCTCGGGTTCTGGATAGGTTCACCAGGAAGTTAGGAACTGCTGACCCTGCCTAGTCCCTGGTGATGAGAAGAGAATGAACCTCCTGTCAGTTAGAAGCTTTGTCTCCTGTCAGTGCTGAGGGTGAGCTCTGTGTGTGTGTGTGTGTGTGTGTGTGTGTGTGTGTGTGTGTGTGTGTGTGTGTGTACAGCTGGGTAGAGGGGTTAGCTTAGGGAAGCATAGGAGGGAGGGACACTCAGAGCTCCAGTGACTCAAATCCCAGATGAAGTGATTGATCACATCTATCTATCACTTAGGTTACAGATCTTGTGATGGTGTCATATAGCTAGCTTCCTCTGGTCTTTATGCTGGCCTTGCCTGCCACTCAGCTGCTTTGTTCCTCAAGCCAGACCATGGTCTATGAGCAAAGTTCCATGAGGAACCTCTTCCCCTTCATTTCCTCACCATCATCTAGAGGGTATATGCTCCTGGTGTTGGCCTGCCAGAGACACTCTTGTAGCCTCAGGGCAGTAGGTCAGCCCGTTTCCATTGCCCCCTCCGGGGATTCCTCCCCAGCCCTCATTGATGCCACCCTGTCCTTTCCTCTCTGGAATGGCCGGTGCCTATGACTGACTGCTCTGCTCACAGCCTCTGGGAACAGAGGCATATCTCAGGCATGTCTGCCTACATCACCTAGCGCAGGCACCTTTGTGTGGGAGGCACTTGGTGAGGGCTGGTCATAAGAGGTTCTCTGAAGGAATGAAGCGTGTAGCTGAAAGACTGGCAGGGGACATTGTTGGGTTATCAGTGATGGGATAGAGAAAGGGTTTCATAAAGATGAGAACCGAAACTGATGCTGTGACACCCTGATCCCATCTCCTCCCTGGACAAGTAGAAAAATCTGAATTAGAGATGTGTTATAACTCTCTGCCTATCTTTCTGCCTGCATGCCTGTTCCTCCTTCCCTCCTATCCACTCAGCCAGTCTGCCCCCCTTGTATCTGATGACTATCCAGCTACACAGAGAACAAATGCCTGTATGTGTGCATGCCTGCCTGCCTGCCTGCTTGCCTTCATGCCTGCCTGCATGCATGCCTGCCTGCCTACCTGCCTCCTTTCTTCTAGTATTTGCTGAACACCTTTCTTCAGTTTAGGACTGATCAGACAAGACCCAGGGATTTCCCGGTCCCAAAGCTCTGTATCTCCTGATGTTCCTTGTCTTCCCTTGGGAGGTCTGAAGAAGTGGTGACAGGCCAGCTCGATGGTGTGGGCAGAGTGCATACAGTGCCTGTCTGAGCACTCCTGCTTTTCTTCAGTTCAGCAAAATCACAGAGATCACCAAGGAGGATAACTATGTGAGTCTAATTTGAGAGGGAAACTTGCCCGGGACAAGCAAGTGTCATTTGTGCTGTCAAGGCCAAACTGGGTAGACGTAGGGAAACGTTGAAACCTCGACTGGCTTTCTGTGTATTCTCTCATGCTTCCCTTGTTCTTTGGGGGCCTCTCTCTGTGCCTCCAGACACAGGGAATAGTGAGCTCAGAGTCCCTGGCCTTGCAGCACCCAAGGACCTGCTACTGCCACAGTTTTTGGCAATGGCCAGCCTCTGTGCAGTTTGCCACAGTGTTGCCAACATGAGCTCAGAGATGACCTCAGTTCAGTGGAACTGGCTGCCAGGCATTCAGGCAAAAACAATCCCTGTTTCCAGTTTAAAAAAAAAAAAAAAAAAAAAAAAAAAAAGCAACTTGCTGTTTGCAGGAATCTTATAATGGCTAATGGTGGGCAGCAGCCCCCAGGCATGAGGTCAGCTTGTTAAAATCAATTTGTGATCTGGAGACAGTGTCACAAAGACAGGTCTTGTGATCTAGCTACATGGAGGATGCCTTGCCCACCTTGATCAAGAAATAAAACTGTGGCACAACCCAGAGGCCTCCCAGTGACCCCCAATTCCCTGCTGCAAGCTTCCCAGGACAAGAGCTCACCAATTAGTGGACGGGTGGAACAGAGGAGTAGGCTACCCTGGGGACCCACGGGGTTTGGCAGGTACACTACTCAGAGGAGAGGAATGTGTGGGGGAACAAAGGCTTAGGCTGTGTGATGGTTACTATTGTCAGTTTTTGATGGGATCTAGAATTAACTAGAAGACAATGTGGGTATACTTGTGAAGGATTTTCTGGATTAGATTAACTGAGTTGGAAAACCAGTCCTAAATATGGTGGCACCATTCCATGATCTAGTGCCCCTCACTTCATAAAAGGGACAAAGAAAGCTGAGCACCCACATTGATCTCTCTCGGCTTCCTGGCTAAGACTGTGGTGTGACCAGCTGCCTCATACTCCTGTCACCCTGATCTTGCCGCCTTGGTGGACTGTCCCCTCAAACCATAAACCCAAATATTCCCTACCTTCCTAGAGTTGTTTTGTGTTGTGTTGTTGTCATTGTGTATTCGTTACAGAAAGAAGAAAAGTCACTAATGGGCTTCCCCCTTCTCTTCTGGGCCCTGCCCCTTGAACTTTGAGCCATAGACCACATTGGCCCCATGTCCAAGTGACTATGAAGTGCAGCTTTCTGAGCTCAGGCCCCAGGGGTACCGAGTACCCCCCACCTTGAGAAGAAAGGCATGTTATCAGGCCCATGGTCATGTGATGGCACGACACTTGAGTAGACTGTTTGGGTTAGGACCTGCCTGGCCTCAGTGCCTAGTCCAAATAGCCCGTTGCTTCTCCCTGCCCTTCCCAATGCCCATCACACCTGAGTACAGTATGTGACTGCTTCAGTAGCTGGCATCTCTCCACTCTGTTGTCAAGTTGTGACGAAGCTCATTGCTAGTACATGCTCACATCCTTCTCCTTCTCCTCCCCCCATCTCCCTCCTCTTGCCTGCTTGATCCCCTTGGGTCAGGAAGACCTGTGAGTTAGAGATTTGAGGATCACTGAGGTTGCTCCACCTGCTAAGATCGCTCTGGTTGAGCTGTCCCAGACCTTCGTGTGGTCCTCTTTTGACCTGCTCTTCCATGGCTCTTGGCATCCAGAAGGCCTCAGCTGAGCTAGGAACTGGGTGACCAACAGGCCACCTGTGCACCTTGTGTTTTATCTCCAGCTCCAAGAAGCCCAAGAAACCCCAAGAAGTGGCAGTGAGGCCCAAGCCCTCACCTCGGCTCACCATCTTTGATGAGGAGGTAGATCCTGACGCAGGACTCTTCAACCCAGGCAAGAAAGCATCTCCCAGGAGACCTCTGGAGACAACACAGGACTGTAAGTTCCGGTGATATTCCTGGTGTTGGCCTAGAGCTTGGTGACTACCTGTGACCCTGAGTGAGTGGGTCTCATCCTTGTCCTGTTTAGACAGAATACAGATTAGGTATGTGGATATTTTCTGTTGGGCAAAAATTTGTGTGGAGCCTCATACCTGCTGGAACATTTTTGGCATTATACACTTAACTCTGACTGTCTTATACAGGAAGGGAGTGAACCTTTTTTGTTGCTTAGAGACCAAGTTCCCTGGTTATATCTGTAGCAACATGGGCACTAGAGCTCCCTGGAACTGTTTAATGGAAAAGATGCTGGTCCACCTTGGGTGTGTATACAACTCTGTACAATTTTTAATTTAAATGATTGCATGCCACCCACACATATGCTACTGCAAGGTGTGCTACAAGGTTCACAGGGAATGCTCACTAGCTTTGGCACTCCTCCACATGTCTCTCTGACCTTTCCTCATGCCTTCCCAGGTCCTCCTCCCCAGGAGGATGGTAACTTACTGATTCATCCTGTGCTTGGTGAGGGTCCACCAAGGGAAGGTCAAGCTCAGATCCTCAGCCTTAAATCTAGAGCCCACAAGGGGCTAGAGATACGTAGATAGCATCACTGGAAAATTTAACACAGTACAAATCTCATTCAGGGCTGAGCAGAAACAGGGGTTCCCATAGGCCAGCAGGTATCCTAGGAGGGAATGCAGTAGTGGACCCCAAAAGGCCAGGAGGCCTAGCTAGCTCCACTGGGGAAAGATGCTTTCAAGTAGAGACATGATTGATACTCCCAAAGCGCAGCAGTGAGTGGCTCAAGTGGGAGAAGGTTGGGAGGACTTGGGCTTACTGGGGGTGGCCCTATGGTCAGCTCATGTCTGTTGCCTCTGCTCCTCATTCACCACCTTGGCAAGATCTGCATCTTGTAGATGCCGCTCTGTACCTGCTCATTTGTACCTGTGGGCAAGCTCAGGGGTCCAGTTCAGTCAGAACTTCTGGGAGATTGGAGCTGGTGCAATGTACCGAGAAGCCGCTTACCCTAGCAGTGAAAATCCCTTGAGGGCTGGAACAGAGCCAGGCCAAGGTGGACAGGCAACTCACACCTTTATAAAGCTGATAGACTCTTAACCTCCTGCCCTGTGGGCTTCCACCACCCTGCTTTTCTTGCCTGCTCACTTGGGTGCAACAGGAGGCTTAGCAGGCCTGCTCGCTGGCCTCTGAGGATAGACCAGCACTTATTTTTCCCATCTGCTCCCTCTTCCCACAGCCTTGAAGCTGTTTGATGACCCTGACCTTGGTGGGGCCGTCTCCCTGGGTGACCCTTTACTGCTGCCAGCTGCCCATGAGAGCGGAGTGCCCGCATCCAGCCAAGAATACAGGGATGCCTCCAAGGAGCTGTTCAGGTACTATTGTCCCCAGGAAGACTTCAGTAGCTCTTACCCAAATGTGAGAGTGTTTCACTAGCTTCAGCCCACAAGGGAGGGATCCAGGCCTGGCCAAGTCCTGTAGCCATGAGTGCCCACCCCACTCATGGGGGAAGGCTATCAGCAACCAGGGCCGCCACCCTGGTTTCACACTTCTATTTTGATAGCTTCTTTAAGGGAATTAAATAACTAAATTATATAATCCATGAGCAAGTGTAATTGGCATAAGTGGGCTTTGGAACAGATAAAACTAACCCTTGATATGCTACCTGCTCAGAGAGAGACCAGAGCACAACAATGGCCCGCCCACCAGGAGGATCATGTCAGAGGGAAGGGAAAGTCAAGATTAATCTATTCCCTGCAGGTTGATGTCAGATGTGAAAGCATACCGGCTACTTCCTTAGAGCTCGCTGGGTGTCCAGCATTGTAGATTTGCCTCACCACAGATGAACTTATCCTTCACACAGCCCCTACGATGGGTGCTGTTCTCTGCACTCACAGAAAATAGTATAGGAAAGCTCACTTGCCCAAGCCACCCACACCTGTCAACCTCTGTCGCCACCTCTGTGCTCCAGTGGAAGCCCCTTGGAGAAGAGGCTGGGAGCCTGCCTTCCTGCCTCAGGCTGTGGGTTCTCCTGACTTTACATGCAACCACCTGCTTCCAGTTGCTTCCATTGTGACATCCCTACCTCCCAAGCCATGCCCCCAGGATGCAGCATCTTCTGGGTGATGTTCATGGAGCAGAGCTGCCTCTTCCCAGGAATGGTTGATATGGCACCGAGGCCTGTGGTCCTTGGAGGCTGTCATCTGCACCCCTCGTTAGCAGCCCCAGGCTATTACACAGCCCTCTAAGTGTCCGCCAAGCCTGAGTCACCTCCATGGCGTCTTGTATTTACATCTCCCAGAGGCCCCTGGCATCTGTTCACTCTCATCCTGTGGGCTCAATCCTGACATCCTGCTGTCTGGGAGGAGCCAGGATCATTGTTATCCCATTAGGGAGGAAACTGAGGCACAGGGAAGTCTGGCAGCAGGGTATATGCCTGTGGGACAGATGCCATGGGGCCTTTCCAGCGCCGCATATTATAAATCCTTTACTTCCTGCCGCATGTTCCACGGATCACTGTTCTGTGGGTGTGTCAAGGCAATTTTCACAGGATTCCGTGGCCAGCTGACATCAGCTTTAAGCAGGCTTGTCATGCACAAGCAAACACGGCCACGCAGCATTTCATAGCCTCATTGGTCCCTGGGACCCTTCCTTTTCATTGTGCCTCCCAATCGTGCACAGCCCCTGGGAATCACGGCTTAAAAAGAATGTAGGCTTTGCATCCCTGCCTCCCTACATTAACAGACATCTGGCGGTGTAGAATTGGCATCTTGAGAGCAGGAGCCAGAATTTATTATTCTTTGTGCCTACCTTGTTCCTGTTTAGGCAGTAATTGGACTTCTTCTTGATAGCAGGGTTTCACTCCTCCATCATTCTGCTAGCCACTTACCTCAGTCTCAGTTCTCCTGAGGCAGCAATGTTAGAGTTGTTGAGAGAACCAAGCAAGGGTTCAAGAAGTCGAACTATAGCTGGCTTCTGCCCTCAGTAGGAGCTTAGGAGGGAGGAGGAAGCTACAGCTTTGGGGCATGGAACTCTTGAGGACAACCTTCAACTGCTCTCTGGTGGATATCAAGCCACCTGGGTCTGGAAGAGAAAGGAGCTCATTCTCATGTTAGGCCTGTTCTGATGAGCCCATGCAACCATCCATACTCTGAGTGGTGATGCTGGCCACCCAGGGCATCACTCCCAACCTTAGAAGACCCAGCTGTGACTTGTTCCAAGGAATCTTGGCTATGCTTGAAATCGGTCTCAAGCCTTTAGCTGTTGTTTGGCTTTCCTAAAGAACTCTGAACATAGTTCTGCCTTTGTGGGCACCCTTGATGTCCTCTAGAGGATGTAAAGAAGCCAGCTCCTGGTAGAGTGAGTCAAGACACCATGGCTGCCAGGAGAAAGATGATACATTACGAAGCTGAGACTGGCAGGACCAGACTTCCCATGGATGGTGATAGCTCCCAACATCTCCCCATAGTAGCTGGTCTTTCTAGGAACTGGCCTACCCATTCCCTCTGGGTCTAGCTAGACTTTTCCCTCACTGCTCTGCCACCGAAGCAGGCTCTGAAAGCCCTAAACAGTCCAGAAAGCAGGCCTGGGAACCCTGAGCTCCCAAGCAGCTGGTTCCTGACAGGTGGTTAGTTCTCTGGGACCCTGCACTGTGAAGCTCTGAGCTCACCCAGGCCTCTTCCAGGCCTTGTAGGGCCAAGGCACTGTTCAACCAAATGCTCCTCTGCCCACTCCTGTCCCCCTACCCCACCCCAGTCGTGCTGGGATACTCCTGTTCCTCTGCAAGGACACACTACCCAGGGCAGAGAGCCTCCATCACACTGGCCTGAATCCTTTTCATTCCCACTTCCCAGCCTTTGCTATTTGTCATTCCCTTCTCCGGGATCCTGCCAATTCATGTCAGGGCCACCTTTCTTCTTCCTTTCCTTAGGAACCCTTCCCCATCTTCTCTGGCCACACCCTTCTCTAGCCATCAGTGTCTTGGCCCCTGTATTATTCAGATCCTCTCTGAGCAGCTCAGTTGGGGGTGCCCTGCGGGAGGATCTAGGCAATGAATGGTTCTATTATAGCCAATGCCTGCTCTGTTTAACATTCCGTAGCTGTCAGTCGAAGTCAGTGTGTGCAGCATTACCTTAGATTTGCGAAGCACTTCCTGTGTCTTGTTTTATTTGGTCCTTGTGAGGTTAGGGGAACACGAATCACCCCTCCTTTACAGATGGGCAGACTGAGAGAGCCAGAGAGGTGGATGGGCCCAAGGCCACCTGCCACCTGCTGAGGGGCTACAGGATAAGAAGTAGAAGCCAGCTATTTAACACTAATGCTCCCCTTCCTGGAGGTGAAGTAGAGCATGGAGTAGCTACACCACCACCCCCACAGGTCATCTGCTTTCCCCGTTATGCTGTGCTTACCTAACCTGACATGGTTGAAGGACACTTGTGGAAATAACTGTCAGCAGTTAGGAAAAGCTCCTCCATGAAACTGGAGAAGGGTACCCCTGTAGGGAGCCCGCCTCCTATGGGTCAGGTAATTTTTAGTCCTCACCCTAACCCTGGAGCCTATGACAAGGCCCTTCACTTCCTTTATAGCTCAGTTTTTGCCTCTGTAAAATGGGTTTGTTTCTGCTCCCAGTGTTTTAAGAGCACATCATAGGGACTGAAGAATGCAGAAGTGTCTGGCCTGTGGCATTTGCCACAGCACTGAGAGGGCTGGAGGGTGGAGTGGGTTAATGGAGGTTTGTGTTGCGCTCAGGACCTGACCTCGAGTTCCTCCACTGGGAACTCACAGAACAAGTTCTCCTAGGCTAAGAATTGTCAACCTAACCCACCATGGAATCCTCCAAGGTCCCTCACACACACCATCAGTCCAGCTTTTCAGTAGTACCCAGGCATGTTCTCCTCCAGCTGATCACTACGGAAGCTTCAGCCCATCAGCCAGTGGGCAATCCAAAGGCTGTACCCAATCCTTTTTAATTCTTTTTTATTATTATTTTGTGTGAATGGCTGTTTCACCTGCATTTGTATCTATATACAACATGTGTTGTGCTCTCGGAGGCCAGAAGAGGGATTGGATTTCCTTAGACTGGAGTTACAGGTAGTTGTGAACCTTCAAGTGAGTGCTGAGGATCAAACCTGGGTCCTCTGGAAGAACAGCCAGTGCTCTTAGCTGCTGAGTCATTGCTCCAGACTCCCATGGCCCAATCTTAATGAATCCTGGCTGAGTCCACCACAGCCTTTAAAGGGTTCTCACAGAGGTATACCTCAGCCAGCAGACCCCATCCCACAGCAGCTCGACATCCATGTCTACTGCTTGTCTGGGTGGAGCTGACTTAGCTTCATATTGTGCCTCCCAGGTCAGGCATCCTTTATGTGTCTCAGGCACAGCTGTGACCCAGTGCCCTCTCAGTGAGCTACCCAGCCTCTCAGACTATAGCTCCTGTCTGTAAAATAGACACATGTATGTCTTCCTGGAAATAGGAATTTGAAAAAGAAAGAGTGATTCTAAATTGCTCAGTGGAGGTCAGGAGTCTGGTATCAGACAGCAAACAGGTGGTGATTTCTAAGGGGATGGGAGGGAAGTCCCTGAAGACACCAGCAGGTTTGAAGTCACCACCAAGGGACTGCTTTGCCCTGGCTGACATGGAGGTGGACCTGCCCTCCTGCCCTTGGGCTTCTCCTCAGTGCCGGCTGGATGGTACAGTGAACAAGGCCTGGACAGGAGGCAAGCTGGGAGCGTTTCAATGCCCATGTGGGGAACAATGTTGCTCCAGGCTCTTGTTCCTTTATGGCTGTAGTTATAGTCCAGGACTGCTCTCTTTGGTTCCCTAGAGTCGAAGAGGACCTGGACCACATCCTGAACCTAGGATCTGGACCTAAGCCCAAGCCTCCAGTCCCAGCTAAGCCAGCACTGCCAAGGAAACCCACTGTGCCCCCTTCTGTGGGCCCATCTGAAACCGGCGCTGGACCACAGAAGCAGCAGCAAATCCAAGCCATGGATGAAATGGACATCTTGCAATACATTCAAGAGCAAGACATGCTCGCCCAAACCTCCCCCAGCCTCTTCTGACTTACCCTCTCCCTACTGATACTCTGCCTACAGCAGCACTTGCTCCTAGGAAAGAGGTCTGTATGAGAGTGTGTGGGTTCTTCCTGCCAAGCGATGAACACTAATGGAAGTGGAAGCCTGGACCCCCAGCCCCAGTACCACACTGTTTCCCTTTCTCCTGGGCTATGGGTTGCACAAGAACTTTCTGCAGAATGTAGACTTGGGAGTATCATAGGAATCAAAGTGCATCATCCCAGCCCAGCTGGCTGGAAAGAGGAGAGTAGGTGTGGGCGTGCTTTGCTCAGCAGGAGCCTGACCTCAAGTTTGGAATAAGATCAGAGTCTTCCAAGGAAGGGACACCTTATGATGCTTGTGTCCACTGTCTCTGTCAGCTCTGTGCGGGAAGGAAGGCTTACCTGAGCTAAAGGGGGTTCCTGTGACAGGCCGCTCTGGAGTCTCTGCTTAGCATGGCTGCTGAGGCCCCACAGCCAAGGCGTGTTCTGAGCAGAAAGCCCAGCTATCCAGAACCAAGTCCCTTCTGAGTTTCCTTGGACTTTCGATGCTAATACGAAAAATTTAGGCCCAGCCTTGTTCTCTCTCTAGGGCATGGAGGGCTTCCATGAGCCCAGGTCTTCCATTTCCTTTCCCAGGAAGGGCCTGGCCAGCCCATGGCCCCTTTAATGCAGCTATCAATAAAGTGGGTCCTAGCATCTCCCAGAGCTTGACCCATGGGGTATGTATGAGGCCTTATCTGACCTCAGGATGTAAACTCATTAACCTTTCTCCTGTGGAGCCACCAGCCAAGGAGAGGAAGCTGTGTACCAGGACGATCCTGTGCCTTCCAGTAGATGGTGGCTCCTAGAGCTAAGAATACTAGAGTATATTCTTTGTGTTAGGAACTAGTTTGGTTTTTTGTTTTGTTTTGTTTGGGGGTTTTTGTTTTGTTTTGTTTTAAGAAACATGTTTTTTAACATAATGCAGCCATTTTTCCCTTTGCCCAGAGGCATTAAAAGGGCCCAGCTGGGTCCAAGAGCCACTGTCAGGAGCCCCCAAGTAGCGCCATCCGGTTGTTGGCTGCTGTCCATGTCTGGGGTCCCCAGCTCCTACCTTGTAGTAAGACCTACAAGACCAGGCTGGGAGTACCAGGTCTGGCCTGTCTTGCATCTTACCATGTCCCTTGTCAGTGCTGAATGAGAAGGCATAGATGGTTCTAGGCAGAGGACAGAATACTCCTCTGCCTTGCCAGATTGAGGGTCTCCCCAGAGCCTAGAACTGACTCTAGATAGCCTTACCCCAACTCTTTCTCTCACCAGCAGGCCTTCATGCCCTCCCATCTCTTAGTGCCCAGAACCCTGCCCAGTGCCCAGAAGCCCTCTCCAAGCCCTCTCCTCACAAACTGCAAAAGAAGACTCAATAGGTGGGGAGAGGTCACATGGGCCAATCTTCTGCAGAGCCACCCAACTGTGTCCCTGGGTCTCACTGAACCCTTCTCCCTCTATATCCATTCCTCGGTGCCTTGGCTGCCAGCTTTCTACCTCTCTTTCATCACACACACACACACACACACACACACACACACACACACACACACACACAAACCTTGCACCCACTCTGGGTGATAGATGACATAGGAGAAGTATGACCATGGGCCAATCCAGCTAGGATCCCTAACAGGACCTGACCTCCATTCTCTAGTGTGGTTTTGCCCACTAGTGGGGCTTTGTCTGCTGTGGAACTTTTGGGATACCCTGGCACTGGTGTTTTGCTCCACAGATAACAGTTTTCCAGTCATGACTTGTTTTGATCACAGGTCAGTGACCTACATAGCTAGTCTATGTCTTCCAGTTATCCAGTAAAGTCTGTGTGTAACAAAGCTGAAATTTTAGTGTTGTTCTTTTCCATGCCTGGGCTGATGGGACAGAATTGGTGGTGGTGGTGGTGGTGGTGATCTCTCTGTCTCTCCCTCTCTCCTCTCTCCCCCACTCTCTCTCTCTCCCCCACCTCTCTGTCTTTGTCTCTTTCTCTCTCTCTCTCTCTCTCTCTCTCTCTCTCTCTCTCTCTCTCTCTCTCTCTCTCTGTGGTGGGGAGCTAGGATTGTCCTTTGTAACCAGGGAAGGTATTCTGTGTCTGCTGTCTCTTAGCTGGAACTGGGAGGAAGGAAGAGCTCTAGTCTTTCCCACTGTATAAACTGAGGGACCAGAGGCCCAGGCCTTGTGGAGCTTCTGGCCAGTAATCACTCAGCCAAGCCCTGTGTAAGAGGAGAAGCCCTTCTCTCCAGATCCTCATCTTGGGTACCACATGGGGCTGGAATTGTCATGATTTCAGGCATGCCCTGTATGGTGGGCATACATAAGCCGGACCTTATACCCCAGCACTCTAAGGTGCTGCTTTGCCTGGGGTTCTGCACCAAACAGCCCTGAAGGCTGCTATTCACTGCAGAGCCAACAGCTTCCAATGGCATCTTGGGCATGAGCTGAGAGCAGCCTGAGCCACCCATAGCCTCTCCTCCCCTATCACTTTGATTTGAATTCTTAGTCAGGATTGAATTGGAACTTTGGTTCCTGAGGAGGAACTATCTGGATGTTCTGAAGACAGACTCAGGAGCCTTCTGTCCAAATATCTCCATGCAAGAGAAACTGAAGGTTGAACAGCAGTTTGTGTTTGTTTTTGAAGGCTATTATAGGCTCTGTAGGCAGGATGTGTTGCCAGTGGCTGCATCCGCTGCTCCCTTCCTCCCATCATTGTTCTTAGAACATCGTGAACTTGGGACAGTTCTGGAAAGTCCCAGTTCTAGGGCTAATCCTGGCCAGGCTTGCATCCTGGGCTCTGCTGGAGAGTGCCCATCTACCAAGTAAATGGACCACTTCTCCAGCTCTGCGCATGCCCATGTGCTCTGAGTCCAGAACCCTTGCATCAGATGCTAACCAAGTCTTGCTGCTCTTCAGGACCTGTGGTTTCTATTCTAGGCAGTCACCTGGACTCTGTATCCACAAACTGCTGTGGCTCTAAAGTCCAGTGTGAGGCTGATGTGGAAGGTTGAGCTTAGTTTTCTGGATCACTCACCGCCCAGCTATACACATCCAAAGCCACCAGTGTGTCTCCTGCCTAGATGGCAGGCACTTCCTAGTGCAGCTGTGTCTCCACACGGATGGATGACTCCTCAGAGCAGACCTGGTAGATGCATCAGGCCCCTTGGGGTGGCTGAACTCTCAGTTCTAGCCTTAGATGCCCCAAGGACTGTAGACTGCTATCTGCAGCCACCACCAGCACACTCTGTACCCTGCAGACCTTTGACTAGGGAAAGGTGTCCTGGGACTGGTGGAGCAGTGGCATGAACAGCTAGCAGTTCTCTTGTGACTCACAATACCTTGGTGAGGAGGTGGTCAGCTTGGGGCCATGGAAGCATCTGAATGTCCATCCACCCAGGCTCTAGAATGACCCTTACTCCATAGTGCTGGACTCCCGTGACCAAAAAGTCTTATCTCTGTGCTTAAAGCTTCAGGGTCTGGTCATAGAGGGACGTCTGCTCTCAACAAGCTGCCTACTAAGGGACAGTGGCCAGGCAGGGTGGTCAGAGGCCTGTGGATTCACCTTAGGAAGTCTATCATCAGCACTGGCCATTGAATACACGCTGGGCATTGTGGAGTATGTAAACACAACATTCAAACATCAGTCCCTGCCCCATCTATTGACCCTTGGTTCTTATTTCCCTGGCTCTGGCAACTGGTGAGGGGCTAGAGAAAGAACATGCTTCTCATGTCATACTTGAAATAAAGTTATAGCCTCTAGTGTGGACATCATGAGCTTAGCAAATGGTTTTCCCTCTGTTAATAACTTTCATCTGAAAATCCACATGCTTCTCTGCCAACTCAGCAAATAGTACAGCCTCCCATCACTTTCTTTCAGTAAATCTGGATTGGCTAGATTCCTCCCGCAGAGCTGGCCAGTCATGCCCAATTCCCCATATCCATACAGTGTTTAGTGGGTGCCTACTGTGTGCAGAACTGTGTCCTATCAATTACAAGGCATCAGGTGTCTTAGGGAAACAAGTCAGTCCTTTTACAGGAGGGCTACATGCAGTAGTAGAGCTGGGAAAGTGAACACAAGCCATCCGGGCACAGAGCATACAGTGTGAGCAGAGGAGATGGGGGCAGAAGTTTGGCATGCACAGCTCTGGGGCTCAGTGGACAGGCAGAAAGAACAGGCAGTGTAGATAGTGAACATTCCTGTTGACCGACTATCTGCAGGGCCTGCTCCAGGCACGGAAATGGACCTGAAGATGGAGAATGAGTCATTCAAATTGGTCCTCCCAGAAGCCATCTAGTTCAGTTCCATTCTTTAGGCTCATGTCCCAACATCTGACACCACTAAAATGTTGCCCCCTCTGTGCCACCTGCCAGCACATACAGTATGTTGTGTGAGGCCTGACCCTGGTATTTAGTCCCTTTGAGTGTATCTAACAAAGTGTATCTAAACAAAAATCCCTCCTTAACATAATGCTTGAGCATTTATAGTCCCCAAGGACTACCTTCTCCCTCTTCCTGGCTCCTGGGAACTGCTGAGCAGCCCTGGGCATTCACCATCATATAACCTCATCACTCTGGTCTCTGCCTTCAGCTTCATGTGACAAGTGCCCTGTGTGTCTCTTGTCGTCACATAGTCTCACATCCCTGTGCCCTAATTGCCCTTCATAAGAACTCTAGCCAGGAGATTATGTTGCCTCATATAGTATATAATATTCATCATTCTCTCTTAATCATATTTATAATCTCTCCCTCAAAAACCATCCTCACGGCTTCTAAATCAGTGGTTCTTAACATTCCCTGTGCTGTGTCCCTTTAGTACAGTTCCTCATGCCGTGATGACCTCCCCAACCATAAAAGTATTTCTGTTGCTACTTTATAAGTATAATTTTGTTATGAATCGTAGTGTAAATATCTAATATGCAGGGTATCTGATATTGGACCCCTGTGAAAGAGTCATTCAACCCCAACGGGTAGTGACCCACAGGATTTGAAATTTGAGGAGACTTTCTTTGACCCATTATGTCCACTTCCTGCCTTGAACATTTGGCATTCACAGGTGTGACTGGGCAACTGTATCCACTTTTCCTTGTCCTGTCATACTAGGTCCTGGTACTGAATCGGGTTCTATGCTGAGCCCATAGTTTGGCATCTATTCTTTGTGTGTCCTGCCTGACTAAGCTTTGGTGACCCCCGAGGATGCCTCTGCTAATGGTGGGGACAGTGACATGACTGCCTTCCTTCCTACAGGCCAGGGCAGGCCACAGGAAGCCTTCTCTGGAGCCTTACCTGCCATCCTCAACATTGTCTTTGTGTGGCTCTGCATGACCCAGCCTTCCCAGGCAGCTGGCTCCTGGGCATCTGTCCTGACATCTCCCCATGATCCTCTCACTCAGCTCAGAGGAGGTCAATAGAGGCTCTAAGGAGGCCATGGAAGCTAGCGCCTAGCGGAGCATGGAGGCCATGAGCTGGCCTCTCAGAACTAGCTGGCCCACACTGGTTTCCTGCCTCTAGGGCCCAGGCTCTTGGCATCTCCACATGTTTGCTTCTCTTTTCGTTTTTGGTTTAATGGCCACTTTGCTGACTTCCTCTGACAAGTGCACCAGGTCCCAGAGGGCTATGTTTTTACATTAGAAAGTAGGACAGCATTCCTTGGCCACCTGTTTCCCCAGCATCCAAAACTTCAGAGAAGCTAGGTAGCCACCGTACAATAACCTTGCTTCCTGCCCCAGCCTGATGTACAACTCTAGTGAACTTCTTTATGGTTGTCTGAGTGGCCCTAGGATTCGAACCGAGGCCTTCTGGACTATGAAATCCCTAAGAGGAAGCAGCAGGTATTGGGTGGAAACAGAAGCTGTAGTGATGCTTAGAGCGCAGGCCTGAAAATCTCATCTCATTAGATGTATCATTGTATGCCTGTCAGCTTCCCTCCTGAGCCTAACTATTGGTCTGCAGGGTTGGGTAGTGACATGCTTCCCCTCCCTTGCTGCGGCTTGAGGACCTTGAAAGATAGCAGCACAGAATCATCTGACCCACTGAGGCCAGAGCTTGCCCTGCTGTGTGGGTGTGGGCCATGAGGGATGTGGGAAGGAGATGGAACACACTGGAAACCAGCCATTCTGATGAGACTCACTAGGAACAGCAGGTCAGTGGGAGCAGAGACCTCATCCCAGTTCACTACAATGGAGACAAAGGAGTTTTCCCAGCACCATGGAGATGAGGAAATAAACACATCTTCCTCTCTCTCCCAGCCCCTGACCTTTTGTTCAGAGCTGCAGGCTGGGTGCCGCTGGAAGGAGGCTGTGGACAGAGCCTGTGGACAGAGCATGTCTTCCTCATTCTCTTCTAAGCTCCTCCATGCCTTGCACCCCCTGGGTAGCAGAGCGATCATTCTCCCTTCTATCCAGAAGCCGTATGCAAATACCTAGGCACGGATATTCACAGCGGGTTACTCCCAACAGCTTCCTGTCCACAGGAAACAACCCAAATATCCATAGGTTGGTGGGTGAATAAACCATGGTGTATCCATATATGGTTTTAAACCATTCAGCAGGAGAGGAAGAGCTTCCAGTGACTATGGCAGGGCGAACCTCCAAAGCATGCTAAGTCAAAGAAGCCAGACCCAAAAGCACTGCAGGGCCCCATTTGTTCTAAAACTGTAGTAGGGGCAGAAAGCAGATGATAGTGGTTGGGGGATTGAGGGGTAGGGGAGAAAATCAGCTGCCAGCAGCCATGAGGAAAATGAGGAAACATTTACATTTCAGAGTAGAGAAATGATCTATACGTGAGTGTGCCTATAAACAGTCACTCAGATTCACCAGACTGATCGCCTTACATGGAGAGCTTTGAC